CCACCCCAACTTTATTTTCTGTCTAATATTAATAAGATCTAAATATCACTGTCTGATCCCCTAATAGGAAATCTTGGATTTTATTTTTTTTTTTCCGCCAGTAGACAAACTTGTATCTTGGTGCATGCTGGAACTAATAGTAAATTGTGTTCTGAAAACCCAAACTCTGCAGGCGGTATGGAGGGCCCTTTCCCTGCTTGGATATGAAATGAGAAAGGGAGAGAAGATGTAGATCTCAAGGTTTTTAATGTAGGAGGCAGTTCGGTACTTTCTTCCAGCCCCTGGAGAGGGTGGTCCATGCTACTCTATTCCAAAATGTTAATCTTGGTTACGTTTGGGCACAGAAAATGTCTGCAAATGTAAGGCATAATTTCATGCTGAACTTGTTTCAGTAGATTACTGGAAGATGTTTTATCATAAATATAGAAAAAATATTTTTTTAAAAAAAGGTGATAGATCAAAAAAAAGATGATCTAATATCAAAATGAGGAAGGGTCTAGAGCTTGAGAAAGGAGTATTTGTCTTCCCAAAATTAATCATCTGCTAAACTTAAGCAAGAGTCCAGAGCAGACATATTGTCCATGGCTGCTATTCAGCCATTTTTGTGGGTAATGTTAAACTTTAAATTCTTCTCGTCTTTATTTTAGAAATAAATTAGAGTGAAGGGGTAGTTTTATACAGTGGGTAGTTCTGCTGAAGTAACAAAGTGGGCACTACCAAGTTCACAGCAAGTGCTTCTACGTCCTGCATCGAAACAAGTGGTTAGGGTGTTACCTGTACTAATATTTTCATGCAGTTCAAGTGCTACGGGGAGTTCAAGGCCGCGCTCCCAGTGTTTGGACCTCTCAAGTCTAAGTGTGTCTCTCTGTTGAGGTATAGGATGAGAATGGTTTCTCTCTATGTCCCACTACACTGTCCCACTCGAGCAGTTTCTCCATGTGGGATCACTCCTTCGAGGGGAGAGATTAGTTTGGTGCAAACTCTGGTGGAATCTGGGAATTGATTTCCGCCCCCCCCGCCTGAAACTCATCCAAATAGTGTCTCCTGCCCCGTTTTTAGAGGAGGAGACACTTCCAGCCTGGCCATGGTAGATGAAACTCAACGTGGTGGTACGTCCTCGCCTGCTCGAGCGCCAGGCAGATCACCGCAGTGCGCTTCAGCTGGCACGTCACCTGCCTTTGCTTTTGTTGATTACTGCATCGATCAGAATTGATGGACACGTTTGAAGTTGGCATATCGCAATAAAAAGGAGAATAAATAAAGGTGAAAGCACTTAGGTAAGCCTGCTCTCTCACTGCAAGTTTCCTCCTTTTTTGCTCGCTTTGCTGTTGGCGGTGGGGCTGTGCTGCCAGCCTCGCTGCGGGAGGGAAACTGCTCGGGGATTAATTTAAATGAACAGCTACAACCGTCCGGACGCTCAGTGACATCCTGATACTACTTTGCTCTTCCAGCAAAGGAAGAGGGGGTAAAATGCAAGCTAATTTTAGAATTACCGTGTTTTTAATGTGAGAATCCTAGCCATTGCTTAGTGTAATGCATTTCCCGACTTTGTTGTGCAGATTTAGTGCAGATTCCACAAGAACAATTAATATGTGGCAGGAATTGGGAGAAAGTGACTCTTCTCAGGTTAAAAAAAAAAAAAAAATGGTTCTCAACAAAATTTCATATAGGTTCAGCTGGGAAACAGTGACAAGACAAATACTGCCTAATTTAATTATATGAATATTTTTTTTTCATTTTACAGTTCTGGTTTTCCATTGAAATATGTTGCAAGCTGGAAGACATTAGCTATGATATTGTCCTAATTTCATTGGAGCCTTTTTTCTTATGGTTCTTCTGACTTTCATTACTCAAGCAAGCTTCTTTCTCAGTGTTTGTAGTTAAACAAGAAACCTTGGTATATTTACAGCTATGTATTTGTAGTTGTGCTATTTTCTCCTCCAGGAACATCTTTTGGGAAAGATTATATTCCATAGAAAACTAAGCCAATATAAACCATAGAAAAATTTAATATGTATATGTATTAGAAGTGCGTTGTTAATGACAAATTAGTTTTTAAATGGTTTTATGCCATTTTTTTCTTTTAGCAGCTCTCGATTTCAAGAAAAAGAATGTGTCCATAGAGTACAGTTTATTGTATAGTGAGCTCTTCTTAAAAATACAGTGCTGTGTTGATTGTCCCTGGTATCCTGTACACATGCAATCAGCCTGACTGAAGTTGTCTTATATAAACAGTCTCTTTTTTTTTTTCCCCTAAACTATTTCAGCAATCAAAAATGCATGAAGAGCTTTAATCAAACCATCCGGTGTTTGCATGTAGGATGCAGTTTCTTGGAAGAATGATTAGTTTTGTGTATGAAAGAATTATTGGCTCTGTCCACAAACTGATACCATACTGGTGATCAGCAGTCGGTGCAGTGAAGCAGAGCATCTGGCTCGTTGTAGTCTGGGCGGAAGGTACCATCCATCCAGGACATTTTTCTCATTAACTGGAAGAGCAAAAAAATTCTGTTTTAAATTCTAAAGCAAATGCCATCTTGAAAAAATATTAAATTAGAAAAAAATAATTTGGTGATAGTAAATCTACATATATTTTATAAAAGCTAAGTTACACATTCATATATATATACATATATAAAAAGATTCCTTTTAATATCTTACAGCTTAATTTGATAAAAGCAGTGTGTGCACTCTCCTGAAACAGTAAAATAATTATTTCTGGAATTACCCAGTACATTTCTGGTCTTTTAGTGACTTTAAAGGGAATACTGTTTGCTTTACAAAAGGTCATTCTGTCCCCTCCAAATACCTCTGTTAGCATGATTTGTCCTAAATTGCAATTATGATGTGATCTATTCTTAGGGTCCCTGTCCCTTAAATTTGCATGGTTTATGTTTTAACTTTCTTTTTATGTGCTTAACACAATACACCCATATATGTACATGGTGTGTGTGTATGCAAGGTATGTAAGTGTGTTACCATAGATTTGCAATTTTGATATTTTTCATGTGGCACTTCAGTATCACTTTTTTCTCTAACTTTACGGTTAGCATATTTTTCGTGGGATGACTGAAAACTAGTTAAAAAAATAATACTTCAGAACTGGTTATTGTCATCCAGTCTTAATTGCTGTAGTCTTGCAGTCAGGCCCATTAGTTCCTTTCAGTCCTGATACTGGGTGTTGCTCAGTGATCATTCACAGCGAAGGACTGAGGGGAAAAAACCTGCTTCTTCCGCTGCTTTTATCCACAGCGATTGGATGGCACTTTCCTGTTTTTCATTGCATAGTCCAGCTAACTCATTCTAGGCAGCACTCATGTAAATATGTGTAATTCATATTTTAGGAAACTAAGTTTAAACAGCATTTTGTGGTTCATTGATTTGATGCAACTAATACAGATTTTATACCGAATGAGGTATGTAAGGGGACTGTGATTTGCATGCAGTAAATTGGAGTAATGGAGAGATTGATAGACTTTTTTTTTTAAATCTGATTCTTTTCCAGTCTGTAAATTATAACTTTCTCTACCACAGGGATTACGTGTGTGCTTCCCTTCCACGTGTAGGTTGCTTTGGGTTTGGAAAGCCAACTCGTAATGGTGTTCAGGTACAAGTTTGAATTTTCCAGTTATTTTGCTGTTAGGAGACTTTCCAGTTTAAGCTCAGCTTGCTTATTTTTTCCAGTTAGATTTCTTTCTCTTTTCATTCCCCCCTGCGCCCCATGCATCTTCAGGATGTAATCTGTATTGGCTTAACTTTACTTGTCACTGTCTGTATAGACCGGTCACTTGGCTGGTGTATGTAGATGGGAAATTATGGATTAAGTCAGTCAATGATGGGATGTGTTGCTGTTATGAAAAGGATCATCTGGTCCTTTCTTCATCCTTAGACAGCTTTTTCTAATAGGATTAAGATGGATGTGTGTGGCATGAAAGCTGATGTTTAAAATTCGACGCAAATAATAAATCCTGCAGAATCTAATGCTTGCAAGTTAAAAAAGCACCTGTTATACTGCAGGTCATCCTGTTGTCATTTAAGACCAACTCGGGTGTCATTTCGTATCAGCTTGGCCCCTAACCTCATTATTAATTCATGAACGGGAATTGATGGTGATGTTTTTGCCTGCGGAAATTCTTCAGGAGGTAGCCTGATGGTACCGCCGTAAATGAAGCGTTTTCTCCTCTCGTTCTGCTCGGCACCCCTTTGGTGCCCGGTGCGGGGGGCTGCGGCGCTCGGCTCCCCTCTTGTGCTCCTCCCCGTGGGTCTGACAGTCACCTCTGCCATTTCTGGAGTCGATTACAAATTCTGTAGCTGTTTATATCACAGTCTTTAAAATTCTTTTCCATGTTTCTGAATAATAAGCCATGCTAAAATGAATCTATTTTCATTTCTCCTTGCCTTTAATTAGAAACGAGATAATTTCTTTTGAGGTTGTTTTCAGTATTCGGCTCTCGTATTTTCCTTGCTACTTACAAGTCCTGGTGCATGATCACGTTATCTCTTGCTAGGAAGCAACTAATTAGAATAGTATATAATTTTGCACAAAGCGTAACCTGGCTGTAGGGGAGAACTGCGTGTCCTTGGAGGCTCTAGACCCTGTGGAAATTCATACTTTCCTCTTAGCTTACTGCTTTTGGCGGCGTTCCGTCTCACTTCCATAGGGAAAAGCAGCAGGGCTCTGGAGGGTGGAGGCGGTGGATCCCCAGCCGGTGGAGCAGGCTTTGGAATGAGAAGAGGAGCCCCGAGCAAACCTGGTGGCCGGCTGCCCAGCGTGCCCCTGCCCGGCTCCCGGCTCCCCTCTGACCAGGGGAAGGGCCAGCTCCTGGCCAACAGCCCGGAACGACCTCCAAGACTTGGCTTTGACCAGCGAGGCTGGAGCATTCAAAAAAAAAAGTGAGGTTTTTGTCATCTGGGGGCTCTGAAGAATTGCTTCATTTTAGGGGATCGCTAAGAAATCATCTCTGCGAGGAAGGTGCTGAAGGTGTGCTGAGGGGTTCTCGATGGTGCTGGGCAATGGGTTTTCCTCCGAGGGCTGGGAGCTGGCGTTCGCCCTGGCAGGCGGGGTGCAGCGCACGGACTTTCGGTGTGAAGGTGTCGGGGAAGTGGCAGCGGTTGCTAACGTGTTCCAGCGGAGGTATTACAGGAATGGGAAAGTCCCCCTTTTGCAAGCGTACTCCTCAGCAGCGGCAGCAACAAAATGCACTTGCGTGCCGCCCGTCACCAATTCAGAATGTGTGCACACCGTTGTTTCCCCCAGGGTTTTTTTCTCTCTCTTGCTTCATTTATTCTTTTGTTAACAGTGTGGTTTGCTTGAGGAACTATGCTTTACTGAATGACTTTGCAAATAAACAGAAATAACATGAACATGTACATGAACACAGCCACTGACCATAACATGAAGAATCACAGGTATGTATTTGTTTTATTATTCTATAGATATTTTCTCAGTTAGAGGGGCGAGTCTAGAAATGACCAACTTAAGTCTAAAATTCAAAAGGGACTTGCTAGACCAGTGGGATTTACTGTCTGTGGGAACTGGCAATCTTCCCTTTTCTTTTTTGTAAATCATGAGTTGCAGTAATTTGTGACACGATAGTACAGGACTTATTACAGCCTCCACAAGTTAGTAAGTTTAAACTAGTCGTAAAAAGAAGATTTATTACTGAGCAGACACCATGATTTAGATCAACAGGCCCAGACAGGGAAGTGTTTTTCTTGATAATGTAAAACTTTTCAGTAGCTTTTCTTATAAGGGAAATTGAACAATGATTCTTTTGGGTAAAGAAAAATTTCTTTTTTACATTTGATTTTCATTACACTTAATAAAGCACAATATTTGTTAAAAAGGTGTATCAATTTTTACATCATGTTAAATTCAGCTGATCTCTTTGCAATAATGAAGTACTTTATTAAAACTGTTTTTCCTATAGAAAACCATTCCATAAGTGGAACATAGCAATAATTAGTATGAAAATGCAACGTTTTAAGATGCCACGTGCTTGCAGAGACGGAGATCTTGCAGACAGGCTTCACTGCCCAGGTGCTGCTGCTGTTCACAAGGACCTGGCTGTGCACAGCCTTTTCTTTATAAAAGGTGGTGATTTTAAACGGGAACTTCACATGCTGCCATTTGTTCGGTTTTGAATCTCTTTGCCAAGGTAGGATTCGCCTGTCCTGAGTTTCCTCTGGCGTGGCAGGTTGCATGTCCGGGCGTGCAGCTTCCCGCGGGGGTCCCCTGGGTCCCTCTGTGCCGCCCCGCAGCGCCTGGAGACTCCCAGTAGTGGAAAATCCTGCAAATACCAATTGCCGTCTGTAAATGGATTTGCCCCTTGTTAGCAAGGAGTATGAATTTTTCAAGGAGAAAAGAGATTTTTTAAGCAAGTAACTTAAGGCTTGTTCACAAGGCAGTGGCTCTTCAGAAAGAAGCTCCTCCTTGTTTTTTTTCTTTCACTGAAATAACATTTCTGGGCTAGACCAAAGTACGTAGCCTCTGCGCACAAGTGATTGATGCGTGCTGCTGAAATGTGTCAGAATTAGCCATCAAGCCTTGTAGCAAATACCAATTAGGGTAATGCGGGATGCTCTGCGTGCATCCCGGCTGTGGGCTCGCAGTGTGTCGAGTCAAGTGGCCGTTGTCCTGAAAGCAATTAATCCCGGTGTTCATAACCAAATGGACTTGTACACATCGAATCGCTCTTCCTCAGCCGTGCCGTAGGGCTGTTGGTAGCGCAGGCAGGGCTCTGAAGGAAGGGTGACTTGGGGACGTGGAGGAGGAAACCTGCCGCCCTCAGCCCCGCTCTGGTCCCCACGGTGCTGGGGGATGTCCCACGGGCTTCACAGGCTCTCCTGCCTATTTCCCTTTTCCTGAACCCTCCCATGTCTGGGATAACCCTGCATTTGGGAATCCTCAGCACCTTCCTGCTTATGACTGAATTTGGGGTGGCAAAATTTGCCGTTGGCTGGCGGTAGGGAGGGAGAAGGGTGCTGTTTTCAGCCCTCCTGCTTCCCGCGTGGAGCCGACGGCGGCGGCCCCCCACCCTGGGCAGGGGACTGGGGGACTTGCTTGCAAAACTTTTCAGAAAACAAGTAAGAAAATCCAAGAAATGTTTTTCTCTCCAGACTTTTGCCTTGTTTAAGTATAGCATGGTAGACTAAAAACATTGATTTGTTCAGCCCTACAGGAAGAAAGCGCAGAGCAACCACAAAGAATCTTTTACTAAAGATTTACTGAGGGTATGTGTAAATAAATTTAGGCAGCTATTAAACATCGCCTTTTTTAATAAATGTGGAAAAACCAAACCTGTTAATGAAAGCAGATAAAATGCTGAGATAGAAAAACGATATGTCAGTAGTGGTTTGACTTTATAATGCACTTTAAAATACTAAAATGCCAGCCAAGAGGGTCAGGGAAGGTTTTAAAAAAAAAAAAAAAAAAAAAAAGAAGAAATGCCTCTTACTTTCATTCCATTCAATTACTGTCTGCTTAATTTTGTTTTGTGGAAGACTGGTTTGACTGTCACTGTTAATCTTACATTTGTTACTCTGCCTTTATGACAACGTTTTTGGCTTCATTTGTAATGGTGAATTTTTCAAAATAAAGAACTACTATTGCTGCAGGAAAAAATGGCACAGACTTACACACACAATCTTGTTCGACAAAGATCTGTACAGGCCGGTAGAACTACAGGCGGTAGTTACATGGTATGTAGGTAATGCCATTACGGCTGTGAAAGGAACGCCCGTCACGTGGTGCCCACGGTGAGCAGGAGGGCAGGGGGAGCGCGTGAAGGGGCCCCCAAAGAAGGGATTCTCTTGCTGAGCATCAGGAACTGCTGAAACATGGCCCAAAACGCGTGGCAGGCCGATGCTCAGTCTGTTTGGTTTCCATTGACTTTTGCTTGCTTAGCACTTAGCATCAGTTGGGTATTTCCATTACATTTAAATTAATATTCATATACTAATACATCTTTCCTGGCTTATTGCTCATTTATAATTATTTTCAGAGAGGTAACTCGTATCTCATTGTATGTGCAAGCCCAGGATTCATTTATAAAACACAGCTGTAAAGGTGAGAGATGAGCAGGTGATTCACGTGCATCCCGTCCTTTCCTTCGGAGGCCAGGGCTCGTCCCGCCCCGTCCAGCACAAGGGACGTGTGTGGCAGAGGGCAGCATCATGGAGTCATAGAATAGTGTGGGTTGGAAGGAACCTTTAAAGGTCATCTAGTCCAACCCCCTGCCGTGACATCTTCAACCAGAGCAGGTTGCTCAGAGCCCCGTCCAACCTGATCTGGAATGTTCCCAGGGATGGGGCATCCACCACCTCTCTGGGCAACCTCTGCCAGGGTTTCACCACCCTCAGCGTAAACAATTTCTTCCTAATATCTAGTCTGAATCTCCCCTCTTTTAGTTTAAAACCATTCCCCCTTGTCCTGTCGCTACAGGCCCTACTAAAAAGCCTGTTCCCATCTTTCTTATAAGTCCCTTTAAGTACTGAAAGGCTGCAAAAGGTCTCCCTGGAGCCTTCTCTTCTCCAGGCTGAACAGCATCGCTGCTGTTGGTGCACGGCTGTCGTGTCCGGGCGCTGCCGGCTTGCGGGCGATGGGCTGCTCCAGAGTGCCCATCCAAACAGGTGCTTCCCGTCTGAATCCTTTCCTTTTCTCAGATTTTTGTCCAGGATATTTTTTTCCTACAACAGAGGAGGCAAATGAGTAGGCTGAACCTTGCTGCCGTTCTTTGCTGATCTTGAAGCCTTGTTCTAAGTTTCTGTAAGACATATTTCAATTAGAAATTGTCAGTTTTTCTGCCTTGCTTTATGCAGCTTTGGTTATATCTCTGTGTATAAAACTGCAAAGTAGAAAAAATTATCTAGATGTTTTGGACTAATGGAAACGTGACCACTGCCTGTTTTTAACAGCAGAAAAGGAGGTGGGTCGGTGCTGTTGGTGCCATCTGTGTTCCCTAAGCGCCGTGGGCAGGGGAGGAGGCCTTGAAGACCCCCATCACTGCTCGGTAATCTTTTAGATATTTGGAAGGGGATGGACTGGAATGGATAATTTTTTTTATCCTCTTGAAAACAGTTTGACTGTTCAGCCCCTGTTCAGTGGTTTCTTAACTTTGTATTACAGCTGATGTGCTAAAAAGAACAGTTATGGTTCTGAACTGCGTAGAACTAGTATGATATTTAATTAGACTTTGAATTTTTATCAAAATCTAGTAGTAGCTATGACTGCAGCGTATACAAGGCTTAGTAACTCTGGAGACCTTTTAACTTTAAAAGATTGCATCATGTGGTCATTTACCTGTGTGTAGGTTTGTTACGAATTTATGAAGAATGTTCATGAGAGTTGATATATTTTTTGAGAAGATGCCTCCTTTCAGATCTCTTCTAGAAATGGCAGCCAGTATCTATAAGTAGACTTCACATCCACCCTAAATGATTTTTAAATTTTTTTTTTTTTTAACTCTGATGTTGACTTTATTCTCTCACTCCAGACCTCCTTGTCCCTCTTTAGGCTTTCTGCCTTGAGGCTATCAGTAGCAGAGTCCATGTAGGCTGTTATGTCTCTAGAGTGTAGCAGAAATGCTAAAAAAAGTGTATTTATGACAGAAGTTACAATGAGTTCTGATGCTTTTAGTATTGGAACGCAACATTCATTTTTTTCAGAATCACGGAACTCGTATGTTGAAATACTGTGAAGTAAATGATCTATTTAATGATGTTTATGACAACTTTACAGGATTTATTGCTACCATATAATTAAAACTAGAATTCTTTATGTTCTGGATTAAGATAAGTCTGTGTGTAGTTCTGAGCAGCAGAGATACATCATGTAAATGGCAAAGGGCTGTGAATTGATCCTTTAGTTTATTGGATTCTGTATGGAGTTTATGGCAACAAATTATTTGGGATAAAATATCAGGATTATATTGAGATTCGTATATCTGCTGTGGAGATGCAACCGAGAGAGAATTATTTTTCAGCATTCAGGTTTAAAAAAACAAACCAGACAAACAAAACTCCCCAAACCCCCAGCCTTTTGTGTAGCTGGCTGGTAAAAGATTACTGCGGTTCAGGTAGCGATGCACACAGAAATATAACATAGCGGCGGTGGAGGTGATGATGTGTCGCACCAGGTCAGGACCACGGCTGGTGACTGTGAAATTGGACGTGCGTTTTGGGTGATGGAGCAGGAGCGTTCCTTACTTTCAGTGTGCTTTGCTTTCTGATGT